CATCCTAGATGCATGAAGGAGCGTTTCCGCAGGTCCTTCCTCCCTGCAGCTGTCAGACTGTACAATCAGAACTGCTCCCAACAAACATAGACGTTTACATCTGCGCTGTAACTGCAATAAGTTAATCAACCGATTCACACTGCAACCTGGTTTGCCTCTTATCTGTAGTTATTTTTATTTAATTTAAAAACTGTACAGTACTCTGTTTATAGTAACCATTGTCCTTAATGTAAATATGTAAGAAAAATTGTGTATGTTTCTGTTCTGTGTAATGTGTACTGTTTGTTTGTATATGTGTCTTTCTGGCTGCTGTTAAAACCAAATTTCCCCTTGTGGGACAATTAAAGGATTATTCTATTCTATTCTATTCTATTCTATTCTATTCTATTCTATTCTATTCTATTCGACAAGAAAGGACAGTCATCAGTTCTCCTTGTCTCCTCTGTCCTTGATCCTTCTACCTGTAGCTATTTTTAACAGCTTTTAAAATGTGTTTTGATATTAGATGAAAGGACCAAACACTACAGTTGTTGAAACCATTCTGCAGGTTGAAGGCTGCGTGTAGCTTCTACCTGTGCAGGTGTAGGGGCACCAGCGCAGTCTGCCTGAGGACAGGTGACACCCCGGACGTTCCCCTCTGTGATCTGAACCGTACAGAACTCGCAGAGACAGGCCCGGCAGAAGACGTGGCCACACGGTGACAGCTTCACGCACTCGGACCCGAGCCGGCCCATAAAACAAACCCCGCAGTCAAAGAAAGTGGTGGCAAACACTTTGTGTTTCTGGGCCGCATCATAGATCAAAATGTGGGACAGCAGAGTCTGTGATGGAGATAAAAAGAAACCAGAGAGGGTTTGCTCTTCACTCTGAGGAGAATCTGTGGGCTGGACCGGCAGAGAAGCAGCTCCAAGTTCACTTGGATCTAATGTGCCTGAGGAGGTGGAGGGAAGCAGCGATGAGAGAGAAGCATCTCCTTCATTTAAGAAATCTTCCCGGACACTTTGATGATGCTTGGATTTCTCTGCAGATGAAGAAAGATCATCCTGGAGATCAACATTAAACTCTGAGGCTTGGAGGATTGTCACATCTGGAGTGTGTGTGGTTTGGTTTTGGAGTGCAGGCTCTGGAGAAAGAGCTCTTTGATAATCTGAGGTTAGATCACTCTGGCTCTGGTGAGAGTTCAGATCATTCTGGTCATGCTTGCAGGAGTCTAAAGCCGAAGCTCCCTGAGAGTCTGCGCTGCTCCCGTCTGAAGGATTCTCCTGAACTTCCGAGGATGGTACAGAGAACTCTGGCTCTGTATTGTTCTTTGGTTCTGAGAGTTCAGCATTTTGTTGGTCCTGGTTATAATGCAGGGTGCTGCGTTCATCAGGAGGAAGATCCAGCTTACTGTGGATGTTCAGGAACCTCAGAGCATCTTCTCTGAGAAACTGCACCCAGGAGAAGAGCACCACAGCTCCCCCAGTGGCCTCATAGAGATCAGCGAGATGAGCACGCAGTGCAGCCAACTGTGGAGGGAGAGGGAGAATAGATTGTTGTCATCTTTACTGAGCCTCTACAATGTCCTGTGAACCTATCACACACTGGCAGGCTGAACATGTGACCAACAATAACTTGACTGCTGATTACCTGTGTGTGAGTCAGCCAGCTGCAGGTGAGGCTGAAGGAGGGAGGGGAGGAGGAGGGGTAGTCCTCAGGAAGCCCAAAGTTCAAAAGCAGCGGTGGAAGGAAGGAAATATCATACTGACGCAGACTTTCACCTTAGAAAGAAAAATACGAGCTCATCAGATGAACTAATCTCTTTCTGTAATGTTTGTTTATTTGTTTTTAAATAATTTGGGTGTATTCGACAGAAAATATTTGATATATTCTGTCACATGAACACAAATGGCAAAAGCTATAAATGATGCTTGATGACATTAAGCTGTTCAAAGGTATATTTAATATAGATATATTTAATTCATACATCATACTTCCCATTTAAGGCCAACAAAAACATGCTCATTGCATTGTTACGGGCTCGCCTAATGAGTTCAACTCATTTTACATCATTGGCTACATAAAACCCATTTTTATCTTAAGTAGATGATTAGGGCTGTAACAGTAAAGGTGCTTCCTAATATTTCAAAACAACATTTTCCAAACACATCAGATCGGACCTTTTCGGTCCAGCAGTCGCGTGTTTGACAACCCCGGCGCCTCTGATTTACCCTCTCTGAGAGCCACGCTGAAGCCGACAGGAAGCTCGACACATACTCGGATTTCTCCGGCAGACTTCGACTCGTCCCGAACAAACTCGTCCGCATCAAAGATACTCTGGAGAGCGAGCAGCTCGTCTTCCTGCTCCTCCAAGTCCTCAGTCATCCCTCCACTTCCTCCTCGGTCTGATTTTGTGAGAAGCCTTCCTTCTGTGGCTTCTTGCTTGACTCTGGGTCACACCAGCCTGTTCCTGGTCCTTGTTTGTCCGTCCCTCTTACTCATCAGCGTATGATGTAAGAAGCAAAGTACAGGCAGCAACCTCAGCCTACTGTAAACCTGCTGCTAATGCAAACCAGTCTAAAAGGCCAATCAGCATGTTTGTTTGTTTTTTTAGTACTAATACTCCTTTATAGTCCATTTTGCACTTTTATTTGCAATCCATGTCTCTAAGAACCCAACAATACAGTACACTATTAAACTCCTCTCTCCTTTAATTTACTGGAACACATTACAGAAGAATACTCCCTGCTCCTCTGTGAACGTTTCTCCTTTAAGTTCCTCACAAAGTGATCTAAGAGTGCTTTGTTAAATTAGCTAAGTCAATATTAGACATAATGAAACAGAAATTTTAATATCCATCAGTTGTGGCTCTAATTTTCCATCACATTGACTTGGCTTTGGCTCTAGAACTTTTTCTCTGCCTTGCTCAACAGCTTTAGTTCTCTCTGGGATTCGAACTGGACACTCTGGGGGCTTTTTTGGATTTCAAGATGGCAGACAAAGCCCTGGGACTTCTTTGATACATCATTTTTCTGGGCACTGTTAACAGATGCTGGAAAGAAAGAAATACAGTATTTACATGCTCTATTCTTCCAAAACTGAATTAGCATTTCACAAATTCTCTGTATCATCAATTGTTCTCTAAACATCATTTTATTATTCAGATAAGTGATTCATATATTCAAAGCACTTGTGACAAACTGTCATCAAATATTTTAAGGTTGCTGATGTTTGGCTCTAACTGTTGGGCGGAGAGGCTCTGACTCCCACCTGATACCCGGATGCACTCTTTCTTGTGTCTTTCTTCCCAGGAGTTGAGCTTGCAGGTCCTGGAGCAGTAGAAGACCTTGTTGCAGCGCCTGCACAGGGTCAGATTCATGGACACGGACCGACCGCAGTGAAAGCAGAACTTTAACACTGGTTTCCTGAGAACAGGTTTACACATAAAGAAAGAGAAGTTCCTGAAAGCTGTGTTTAGATTAGGTAACAGAGAGCAGAAAAATAGGAACAAGAGCAGCACCTTACTGTAGATGAATGTGAGTGTATGCGTACCTGTGGTCTCCTGCTTCCTCTGGGAGGCTTTTACTTTTGGGAGGGACACACACAAACACACTTATAATTTAAAGCCATTTTCAACAATGAGAGCAAGTGTTAGCAGGAGTCCTTAGCAGTAACATATAGCACTGTGCTAACGTCTTGCACCACTCCTCATTTCCGGCCCTGTAGATGTTGATCCATCCTCAGCAAAAATGGTCTCAGTGACTGTCAAGGAAGTCAAGGAAGGGAAGCAGGGAAGAAATGTCTGGGGCTTGCCAAATTACACAAGAACTATACTGAAAATCAGTGGCAACAGGTCTGAGTAATGACTCTAAAAATGATATTTTTGGTTTGAATTGGTATGTACGGAGGAGGTCAGGAGAGAGGTACAGCAGTGAGTGTCTACAGCCATCTGTAAAACAGGGTGGAGGCTCTGTGATGGTTTGGGTTTGCATTTAAGCCAGTGCCGTTTGAGATCTTGTCAAAACCGATGGAGTTACGAATTCAGAAAAGCACTGTCAGATTTTCATCCACCATACAGTTCCATACGTGTAAGTGGTCGCGTATGTAGGATCAGTGAAGCAGGACTTTGCTGTGAGTGTTTACATGTCCCCTGATGCAAAGACCTGTTAATGCTGTTTACCCGGCTTAGCCAGGAATTTAGGAAATTTGTGTTGGTTTTCTCTTGTGGACATTTACTGGCTATTCTGATGTTTTAGCTCCATGCTCAGTCTACAAATGAGGCAAAATGAACTCTTAAGACTTGAACCACTTCATCCATTTATTAGTCAGCTGTTCAAGGAAAACGTAAATACTCAATGTTAAAAATAGTCTTCAAAAGTCATTAAAGTGTTCATGAACAGAGGTGAAAAAGTCAAAATGGCATAGCAGGGACTCAGTGCTTACATACATATATACATCAGTGATGTGCGACTTTGCACCACTTTTCTGTTTCTCAAGGTTTCTCTTAGAAGCCTTTCAACTTGTAACATTATCATAATTTTTAAGACAAACAAACAGACGGGTTAGAGTAGGATGAGATCAGTTAGTATTTAAATACTATCCAAATGTTCAAATCACAATGTCATAATCGCACCATGTTCTTAGGTCTTCATGTGGAAAATCTGCGTCTCATACCTTTCACTATAAACATGGGCTTGGATTGAAAAGCTATTTAAATGACTGTAAGGAAATTCCCTTCACAATTCCACTGAGGAAGTTAAGATAAGTGTGCTGTGCTGAGTGATAAGGGATGTAGAGAAACAAGCGGGGTGGAGGCCGAACTTCTCAAGCTTTGGTCTCGACCTCTAGTGTGAAGCTTTCCATGGGTCCTTTGCTCAGGGCCTTGATGTCATCCAGGAGAACGGTGGGGGTCAAAATGTGGGAAGACCCTGTATAGGATAAAGATAAATAAATTGCATTAAAAAAACAAACAAACAAAAGAAAAGTCCTGTCATAATTCCGCTCTGCTCCAGTAGGGGGTGTAAAACAGCAGGAAATAACGTATAATAAGTGTAATCTTAAAACTCAGTGGAACCTTCCCGATAATCGTCACAATCATAGCTCTCCTTAGTTCATGTGCTGCAAGCTAATATTTCCCAGCATTCTGACTTTCTGCGCGCCTGTTTGGTACGAAGCATTGTCCAGCTGTTTCCTTGCACTGAGTCTTACCAATGATGACCTCGCAGGTTTTCATTGCCCTGGTGACCTCATAGGCGCAGCGCATCTCAGAGAAGCTGATCCCTCCTATAACAAAGATGATGAGACGTGAGCCAGTCCGGCGGTCATCCTGAGTGCTGGCTCTGTGCTTCTGCCGTGCGCTGTGGAGAAGAAGGAGGGGCATCGGAAATATTAACTGACAGAGCCTTAAAGAAGAAAAAGCAGACGCTGCTTCTTACTGTTGAAACTGGAAAATCGACCTCATTCACCTCAATCAACCCTCTAAGAAACAGAAAGTGGATGTGGAGAGATAAATCACACAGACTGACTGTATAAGCATAACTAAGTGACACAACAACACAAAACTGTAGGGTTGTTAAACCGTATATTCTTCAGTTAGAAAGAAACCAAAACAGCAGCCCAGTTCCAGCCTGGTCACTCACAAAAACCCACCTCACAGCCCCGGAGCCATTCCAGGCAGCAGGACACTCAGACTGGTGCGGCCACTCTTTGGTGTCCAGTTTGTTCTCCACGACATCCTGGAAGTAACGCATGTTTTAGAGATCATGTGACATGGAGAGCAAATCTGTTTTGCAAGCCAGTAACAATTTTAAAGTGCAGTAACCTTCACTCGCTGAGGGGTCCTACCTACATTAAATTTATATGCACATGGTCCAGTGGTCATCTTCTAAATGTTACGCAACGTGTATCTCTTTGACCATCATGCGCATACTTCAGTTTTCTTTATATTTGGAACACAAGTTTCAGTCACTCTGTAAAACGATTTATTTTGTGGGTGACGTCACAACTTAAAAGCAGAAGTCATCCCATTAACAGAGCTAATTAACAGAAGAACACATGATGAGTAATTTTGGTGCCAAGGGAAGGTGTGATAATAACGTAACTACATCATGCATTAGTAGATGTCAAAACACAGGCTACTGCTTGACAAACAATTTGCTTTCCTCAAACTCAAAGTCTCACTGTTTTTTTGCATCATGCACCTTTATGCTTAGAAATACTTGAGACTAGCAGACGAGCTTTAAGTTATCTGCAGCAGATATTCAGCTCCTACACATCAAATCAATTTGTCTTCTGCTGCAAGAGGAAACATTTTAACCGCATTTGACAGGAAACCAGGTGCACAGGTGAAGACCACTGATGTTTTTCTTTTTTTTTTCCATGTAATAACAGGAAATGCAAGTGAAGATGAGAAGAAACGAGCTCATGTTACAGATCCTATAACATGGAGTTAGATTCTAATCTAATATAAACTTATTTTCACAGTAACCTGTAAGATGATTACTAAAAGGCTCCTCTCAGTTTTGTTTGCTATTAAGAGCCTCCTCTTCATTGGATACACTCCATCTGATTAACAACATGGATTTACAGAACTGGGACTGAGTGAAGAGAAGAGTTTGGGGGAAAACTGCTAATGGGGGTATTTCCACCTCTCAGTTCCACACCCATTTCAGAGAAACGGCTTCGGCAGCTGAGTTTTAAGAGCAAGTATATATTTTCTTTTCATGATTTGTGGTTGACAGGTCACATGACTTACCAAAGTGAAAACAAAGCACAGTGAAAAGGTACATTTAGAAAAGAAAACCAAAAACTGGCAGCACAGCGAATTTCACACAAACAAAGGACAAAGATTTTCACCCAACATACTTATAAGACAATAAAAACACTAGTTCTGAGGGACTGAGACAGAAACAGAAGGACCATCCTCTGAAGAAAAACAACAAGGCAACAACTAGTGCCTTATTGTGGTTTACACTTGCTAGGATGCAGAAAACGGTACAGAACAACACAAACTTGTGTGACACAGCTTATCAGATGACCCGAATCTGATAACCTCCTTTTGTTCTGCTTCCATAGCTGTGCTCATGAATGCCCCTTAGACGAGGACTGGGGTAGCACAATGAAACAGATACAGTTACATGTTCAGTTTGGCATCAACTACTCTAATGACCGCTCAAGGCTGGGTACACAACAGAGTCAGCTCACACATGTTCAAATGCCCCAAATCAGCAATGAAATGAACAAATGTTTACAGCCTGAAATAAAAACTGCTTTTGGCAATGGATAAATTCATCCTTTATAACAACTGTGCGCCAGGGTAACTTTTTATTTATAACTCAAACATTTGTACTTGCAGAGGCTCAAAGCTTTGATTGACAGGTGTCGAAAAAGTTCATTCCACCAACTGAACTGAAACCTCTACACCCCGTCTGTGTGTTGGTGTCTGTAGAGCAGTTTTACTTTCACTGTCTAAAGCATAATATGGACTCAAGTGAGCTACAACAAAGCCCGCAAGTTTCTACTTTAGTTTCATTGAATTTAGTTTTAGATAGATTAATAAAATCCATCACTTAGCAATCATTAGCAGCTAGCAGAATCGGTGAATTGCAAAGGTACAGTTTATGGATGCTTACTAATGCAGAGACAATGGGTGCAAAGACAAGCTAGGATACCACATGATGATGTCACTGACCTCCATCACATCTTTTATGGTGGGGATCCATCTGGAAAGGCTGTATCTCTCCTCTTGGGAACGCTCTCGTCGGTTGGGTTTACGAGAGAAGAAACTGGGCTGGAAATAAAAGTACATCAATGAAAATTTTAAAAAATGGATAAATCAAAACACTGAAACGTTTTCCTTTTCTCAACCTACCGTTATGATGATGGGCACACCCAGCTCTTTCCAGTTCTGGATATACTCCGGTTCTCCCTCGATCTTTACATGCTCAATAAGTTTGTTTAAGTTTTCCTCGGTTGTCCCTGTTTACAAACACCAAACAACCAAAAAGCAAAAAAGACAGATGGACAAATTAGCACCTCTAATTTTTAGTCAAAAAAAGTTGCTGTCAGCGTTAATCTCGTTAAAATGACGTTAACGCCATAACCGCATTAACGCTGCAAATCTCCGTTAGCGAGTTAACGCGGATCGCCCCGTGTGAGGGGCTGCACGGTGCTAATGCGTTAATGAGCTAACCGCGCTACCGCTGTGCAGGCCTTGTGTGGGGAGATCTGCGTTAGCTCGCTAATGGAGATTTGCTGTGTTAATGCAGTTATGGCGTTAACGTCATTTTAATGAGATTAA